GTTGTTCCATATGACCTGATTTGCTATTTCAGAGGATGAGGAGGGGTTGTCTTCATTTAAAAGGGTCCACGCCACAATGCATTCTTTGTAAAATTCTGGAAGAGTTACCGGTAGTTTAGTGTAGTTAAAATTGCAATGAAACAAGAATTTTCCCCCTACTTTCTTAAGATAAAAATCCAGAAAAAACTTCCAGCCAGCGGGGTCAATGGAGAGATATCTCTTAATACAAATTATTCTTTGGGCAGAGATCATTGACTCAATGTTGGGCATTTTCAAGCCTCCTTTATCGTCTGCCAGCTGAGAGATGCTGGGCAAGGGAGTTGGATCAAAACTGAAAGTGATCTGTTACTGACTCCTGATCCAACTCTCTTGTAATGTTGCAACTAGAATCTAGAATTAACTTTTTTTTCCTTTATGTGGAATTATAATTATCATTGTTCAAAAACAGTAATTGACCACCACAGAAAATACCATAACATACCGTAATGCTCTTTGTCTGTCACCCCAAATTTTTGCATAAGCATTGTCTTCAGTTTCTCTTGGAAGTTAACATGGCCCCAAGAGAAACTGAAAACAATGCTTATGCAAAATTTTGGGCTGGCAAACAAAGAGCATTATGATATGTTATGGTAATAATTTTCTGTAGTGGTCAATTAATGTTATACAATGTACATGTAACTTACGAGATCTGAAGCGACTGTATTCTTAGACCAGAGTAATCCTTTTCTGTTGGCTCCTGAAAATCAATCCATTCCTCTTCATCCTGAAAAACAGTACAATGAGTCATAAGAGCAATGAATTTATGCTTGCAGGAGCATCCTCACTGAGCAGTTAGCGTGCTGGCCTCAAGTTCAAACTAACCGCTAGCTGGATTTGTTCTTGGCAAAACAAAGTCCAACTCCTCATCCACCCTTGTAAATAGGCTGCCAACTGTTTTGTATCTGGCTAGCTGCCAGGGATTCTTAACCTTTTTATTTTTATTTCAATTTTTTGTTTCTGTCCTTATTTGTGGGTCACACTGAAAACTACTGGATTACCAGTAATTGTACTATCCTTCCTATATATAGAATTTTTTTGCATATTTTTACACAGGTACAAGATGTAATTTATGCATTGAGAAGGAGGGATGCTTGATTCAGAAACTAAATGCAGGGTTCTCATTAAATGCCAGCAACTGGCTAAAAAACCAGCTAATTGAGGTTTAAGCCTTCTACTTTTGGGAGAAAATGGGTAAAATGAGGGCGTGAACGCTTCAAATTGCCTACAGTACTTCAATTACTGCCAGGCCGCCTTCATTTACATCCTGGCTGTGTACTTTAAAACTTAATGAGACCCTGTAAATGTCAGGTTTCTTTAGTTTTACAAGTACTCAGAGGGCGCTTTCCATTTGTCAGAACTGACCAGCCCTTAATGAGAATTTCACTTTTAATCACAACTATCCAGCCAGATCAGTCAAATCCTAAAAATTAATAGTATGCACAAAGGAGACCGTTCTTCAGCAAAAACTCTTGGAAAAAGCCTATTTCATTGTCAAAATGTCTGGTCTGGTAATGGTTTGGTCGGCCAGTTCTGACTTTTGGAAAGCACCCTCAGTCAAAGCTCTCTCAGCAAACACTCTACTCAGTGAAGAGAAATCATTGATTAATGATGGTTAGTCAACCAGTGATAAAGATATTGAAAGTCTTTTATCAATGACCACATTGTAGGGTCTTAAATTCCTAAAACGAGGTGTAAGCTCTCCCCTCCCCTCCCACCCTCATATCTTCATCATGTCTGTATTCTCATTCACACAGTTTTTATCAAGCTAGTCTTAGTTTTGTTCTTGTTTATTGTCCATTTTTCGGTTCAGCAGTTTTGCATTGTTCAATAAACTCATTTTACCCACTGAACACTATTTCTACTTTTGTATATAGGACATCTACACTTACAAGTAGACTGATGGAACTGGATTAAATCTTGAACATTTAATGCTACTCAGAGTTTCATGCCTCTTGTTAGGCAATCATCAGGCAACAGAAAAGACCTCCACACTTATATACATTACTTTAAACAGCCATAGAGTTGTGACTTTAAGCAGAAAAGCTCTCGTAAGTGGATGCTGCCAGACCTATCCTTGTACAACTGTGCAGTTTTCCCCATATTATATAATACGATATGTATGCAGCATGTGCACCAAATTAATTAATGTGGTCTACAATGTTTGGATATGAGCAGTGAAAGGTCCCACAAAAAGGACCACATGTATACTGTATCTCTTCCATTGCTTATGGGAAGTTAGAAGGGCCATTCCTACAATCAAATAGCACCAGTTATGGACACTTTTTCGTAGTTTCCCAAGGTTGACTTCTTGCAGTAGTTTGGCGGCCCTTTACTGTAACAAAGACCCCAATAAAATGCACATTGTGTAAATAGACCTTGCAGACTACAAAATACATGTATATATTTTGCTGCATTATAAGGCTTAATTAGTCGACTGCTAGTAAGGCTTTCAATGAGTGATCAAGTTTCACTAATTATTAAACAAAGCGAATTCTAAATCAAATTTTTTTCAAGAATAAATGAATAAATCATGTACAACCATATTCCCTGTTGAAACTGGAGACATGGCAGCATAATTTGTACACGAAGCCACAAAAGCCAAGAAATATTTGAATTTGTACCCAAAATGGCAAAAAATAGTTGACTGGAATGGAAAATAGGGCAAAACGTTTTATTTTAATTGCGAAATAATCTACACGTGACTCCATTCCGCATTGTGAAATAGCCGGTTTCGTAGACAGCTCTTTCGACTAGCCATTAAAAATAAAAGATATTCTTACTTGATTGGACGGTGTTGGTGCTACTCCTGAGGACTTTTTCCCAGTTTGATCCTTAGATCGGCTGTCCGCCTCCTTTTGAGAGCTTCCAACTTGTTTCGTGATCGCTTCGCTAGTGGTGAATTTGCTCTTCCCTTTCCCCTTCTTCCCTTTCGCCTTTTTCGCGAAGAAATCTTCTAGAGATTTGTCATTGTCAGACATAGCTTTCTACACGAAAAGGACCCAGGCGAAGGGCCGGGAGAAGCGAATAACGACGAAAATTCCACAAACTCTGACAAATTCTTTGTGACTAAAAAATTGCCTAAAAGATATAATGCGGACGCATCCACGCATGTCTTGCGAACCTTGTCCCACTCTCTCACGGTCGTTTCCAACATGGCGGCTGAAGGAGAGGGTTTGGGCAGGAAACCAGACTGCATTTTCTGCAAAATTGCCGCAAAAGAGGACGAAACTCAGTTGATTTACGAAGATGAGGAAATTGCCGTGTTTCCAGATCGTAAACCAGCAGCAAAACACCATTATTTAGTGGTGCCGAAGGAACATTACGGAAATCCAAAGTCGCTTCATTCTGAAACTTACAAGTTGGTGGAACGTTTATTTGAAGCTGGTAAGAAGGTTCTTCAAGATAATCAAGCTGATCTCAACGACGTGTTATGTGGCTATCACTGGCCTCCATTTAATTCTATTCAACACCTGCATCTTCATGTTATTTCGCCGCGTTCGCAGATGGGTTTTTTTGCCCGGCAAATTCACAAGCCCAATAGCTTTTGGTTTGTTACCCACGAATGGCTGTTGGAACATTTGAAAACAAAACCTTCCAATTCTTCATAAGGAAATAATACGAATTGATTCTGTTCAGAGAAAGGCAGCTTTAGTCTCGAAGATCAACGAATATAATTTATTAATGAAATGATATCTCAGTCAAACCTATTATTAATCGGCGACAAAAAGACACTTTGCCCTAATGGGCTCCCCTGACGTTTTGCCAACATAGAAAGGGGAGAATAAAGCTTTGTTTCCCCCAATCCCCCCACACCATGTTGTGCCGCTGTTAAGGCTACCTGTAGAAAACAGGAAACACCCCAACTTTGAATGGATGGGAGGGGGAGGGGTGTGGATTGTTTTGTTCTCTGAACTTACCTCATTTGAGGATAATCTCGCAACAATAATTATTTTGTCACTGATTGTAGCTACAATTTAGGGGTTTGCCAGAGTATCAGGCCTTCCTTAGGGGTTGGGAAAGAGGAGGTTTGAGATTCAGGGTACAGGATAATTTACTGATAGGGTCTGAAAGGGTATTTACAGGATCTGGGATTTGACCAATAAACAGTGAGGTATTCGGGTAAACGTTGATGGGATGCAGGATTTGACTGCTACCCGGGAAGCAACATTTGCCAAAATTTGAGCGCGGATTGATGCACATTGGGAAAGAAAATGATATTCGGGATAGCGATGAAAGAAGCAGGGATGCGGGATTCAAATGAAAAAGAAGCCGGAATGCGGGATCAGGATCCCCCTTTCCAGACTCTTTACTGAGTCTGGCCCAGTCCGATAGACTCTCAAGTCACTGAATAGATGTTATGCTACAATATCGATATCTTTAATTTTGTCTGTGTTTTATTAGACTTGAAATAAATTTCACTTAGTGATAATGGCCTTATTGTAAAACTGACGAGATTAGATCCAGAGAGGAATTATAAGAGTGCAGATTATTATAAAGTGATATCGTAAGTTTCTGTCAAAAAGGTGAAACGATAGCAATCGAGCGATCAATCTTTGTGACCCTTGAGATGATCTGTTGATTTACCTCAAGAAAGAAAAATGTAAATTTCACTAAAGTCATTTATAGACATTAAAGTTGGTTTTTTATAGAAATTTGTAAAACCTTGATTCTTGGTGATTTACAAAGTGAAGTCATTAAAGGGGCTGTCATGGCTGGCTACTTCATTTTGTTTATAATGCTAACATTTACAACTCATCCATATTTTTGTCATGGAACTTGAGAAATTACTTGTGAGCTTCTTGTCAGACAAATATGTTTCCCAAGCATTACAGCAAATCCCCGGTAACTCGATTAACTCTGAAGAGAAACAAAAAACAGTTTGAGTGAGAAAGGAATTTGAGTTATTGTGGTAAATTTCAGTGGAATTTTGATCAAGGGAAAGGCAATATTGTTCGAGTTAGTGGGGAATTTGAGTGACCCGAGTTCAAGTTAACAAGGGTCTACTATATCTCTGCCCCCAAAGAGGGGGCAAACTGAGACCAAACTGAGGCCCAAAGGGCCAAAAAATTTTCTTTGGGGACTGGGCCCCCCCTTATCTCAAGGTTTGGATCCAGCACTGCTAACTGGCACAATGTGACAAAAGACCCAAAATATCCCACAGCTCTGAGAACAAGACTCAAAAGGGGTACCGTTCTTAGTCTTCAGGTAAATGAAACTATGAAAGGGTAGAGATTTCACAAGTTTAAGTATATAAAAGGGTAGGGAAATCTGTTATTTTGATGCATAAAAATGGCTTACAGGTCTATTTTGTGGCACTGAAAAAGTCAAGACAATGTTCTGGTTTTGTGGTTTATTCTTATTTTAGAAACAGTGTATTTACAGCAGATAAAAGGGATGCAAAGTTCTAAATACGTATGTGAAAGGGTACCATTTGTCAATAGAAGGTATACCAAAGAGGTACCTTTTCTGGGCAAAAATGGTATGTAAAAGGGTAAGGGTTGGACATTGGGGCAGAGCTGCCCCCCTATATAAAACTTGGTTGAGTACCCACCAGGTTTTGGGCGGAGCCTTTATGTATAAGCTATATAGGGAGTATTCCCCGCCCCCTGGCGTCAAGAATCAGTGTTCGCAAATTTCTCGGTAGTCTGAAGTGTTAACCTCTGGGAACGAGGCTGTCTTTGTCTGAAGTGTCAGCGCTGCCTGTCAGGGTAATTGAGCAAAGACATGGCTGACACTTCAGACCAATGTCTTGGGAAACAGATGACTATAACTACAATTTCCAATTTCCAATTACTAGACAGGACATATTGCATTTCCATTAATTTTGTCTTATTTTCCTCTCTCAGTGCTTCAACAAACTGGACGTGTAATGAGATTCATGTGCAATAAAAAGGATCAGTAGTTATGTCAGGTTTCACTCTTTGTATAGAGTTTAAACTTTGTGAACTACGTGACTGAAATATGAATTAACGTGTATTTTACTTACTGGTTATCTGATCTGAGTTTTGTTGAATCAAATATTTTAACTTTTAACCAACAAAGTAATAAAACTTAAAATTGAAGGCAAGGGTGATGCGACAGCCCCGGAGGGGCCGGGGGCACGGGGATGATCGTCGTCTCGCTTATGAATGTAAATTTCAGATTTTGGTCTCGCTTGGGGTGTTCTAGGCAAAACACCATTTTATTTAGCTGTAAAGGTCTCGTTCCTGAGGGTTGAACTCGGAGGAATATTAAAAAATTATAGATTTTGAATTCGTTTTATTCACTCGATTCATGTAACCAAAGTTTAAAATGATCGCTTTTAGGGATCAAAAAAAGGTTGGCCCACGCGCAGATTGGTCTCCTTTAGGGGTTTAATTAAAAATTTCTGACGAGCATCCCCGCCCCTTTCATATGGGAGTCCCCTCCCCCGGGGGAACAGCTAAGGATTGGTAATTTATTTACCCAATATTTCGACTAGGCAAAACAGGAGCCGATTCTTCATCAGGGGCTAGAAAAACTAAGTCGTCAAAGCAATAAAGTTTAGCTGACTTCCGGCAAGTGGACCCCTCCATTATCTAGACCCCAGTTTAATCGTTTTTCAACAGACCTTGTCACGGTTTTCGACGCTATCTTGATGAGTAGGCAAACGCGAGAGAAATTACAGTGTTTGTATGAGAATCTAATATCGAATAATTGCCGTAAAACGGCTGTTCTGAAAAAAATATGAATTGTAAACTAAAGCTTCACCCCCTAAGGATTCTACTGAAAAAAATTGAGCGCGTTCCATGCGCTAGAAGACCTAGAACCACGTTTTTAAATTTTCTATACCTTTGTCTGTAAGAAAGTCCCGGGAAAAATTACAGACAAATATACAGAAAATCTAAAGCAAGCGCCTGAAGAAACGTAAGCACGGGTACGCCCCCATTTTTTTTAGTACAATCCTTTGCTTTGTAGCTTTAGTTTACAATTTATATTTTTTTTCAGAACAGCCGCTCTACGGAAATTATTCATCGTTAGATTCTCATACAAAAAAACTGTAATTTCTCACACGTTTGCCTACTCGTCAAGATGGCGTCAAAACCATGACAAGGTCTATAATTGTAAAAACTGCAAAGTGCAGTCATTGCCTCGATATGGTCGGGGAACAAAATACGGGTCCTACGACCAAAAGAAATATTTACTTCACCACACAAGTATTAATGGCAAACTAAGTACTGTACAACTATAAACACCTGAAGCCAGCTCTGAAAATGGGTGTAGATCAGTCTAAAAAGAAGCTAGGCCTGAAACCGGGGGTGGAAAAAGGCATTCGGTCTGAAATTTTAAGAGTCGGGCCTAGGCTAGTCTGAAATATCATGCGTCTCCACGTAACTCCTAAACCCGTGGGGGATGCGGGGGAGAGAGTCTCAGACTATCTATACCCCAAGGCCCGGCATAGTAGATCAAGAGCACGCACAACGGGCGAGCAGCGAAGCCGCGAGAAACGAATTAAAAGGCGGAAGCCCAAAGAAAAAAGTTTTACCCTCTCCTCCCCAATATCTCCTCCTTATTACCATCGATTTGCATTTTTTAAATTAGCTCTGTACGACTTTCATATGTGAGATCTTTACAGGTGCAGCCAGGTGAGAAATTTTTCCTTCACTGCCTGAACGAGTTTATACCAAAGCTGTTTTGCCCTCGAACGCATAATGACCAAGTTTACCAGCTACAGCCGTATGTTTCAAACTAAGAATTTGATATATAAATAATAATATTACGAATTCGACCAGAGTCACCGCTGTCACTAGTTGCTGTTGTATACCGACTCGCCACCCCCGGGGGGGGGGGGGGGGGGGG